TGGCATTTAAACCAAATGGGGACTCGACTTTTGTCCCCAAATGCACCAGTTGTCCCCAAAGTTAGGATTTTTGTCTTAAAATTGCCCCCAAATGTTACCAAAGCCGAACCCCCCCACACACAAACCACAAAATCAAATTCATTGTGAATACATAAATATTGAATCACTGCATACAAAACAAATTCATACATATGTATGAGCACATATTAAAGCTTCAAGGCTAAAAGACTATGATGAAACCAAACATCAAAATGAACACCGTGTAATGAAGTCACTGATGAATAACAGCATTCATAACCAATTTAGAGCTGAAGGGGAGTTTAGATCTGGGCCTAAATGTAAGTCAGATTTTCAGTTTAGATAAAAGTTTAAGTAACTTGTTGTTTAGGAACAATTTGCTTAGTGACAGCTAAGTGAAAGGTATGTGTGAAAGGTGTTTGCAATAAAAGCTATGGTACTATTTATAAACAGAGATTTTTCATTTTTGAGAACAATCACATAAGAACTTATTTTTGTGTTGTTTTAAAATCAGGACAATGTATTAAATAAAASACATTAAACAATGTAGGAACAATGCAAGGTTACAAAAACATGCTTCAAAAGTTTGAACTCGGTCGAAAATCAGAGTTTGTCAAAAAATGGAAAACTTTTTCMAGCGGACGGCTGTGGTGTAATGGTAGAGCAGCCAGTTTGGGACCCAAAAGTCATTGGTTCGACTCCCCACCATGCCCAAATGCCGTGGTGTCCTTGAGCACCCAACCCTAACTGCTCCCTGCTCCACTTGGGCATTTCTCATGTGTCATGGGTCAAATGCAGTGCACAAATTTCATCATTGTGTGGGAACATACATAAAGCACCTTTACCTTTAGTTGAAGGTACTCTTCCACCAAATAACACATCCAAACAAGGTGACACCAAGGTGCAAACTGAATTTGACATCTTAATCTAACCTCTTAGTCTAACCTCTGATCAAATAATCACTTCAAAATAGGTATTTACGGGTCACCATCTGAAGAACGAAGGACAAAAATCATAAATGGCTATAGTGAAGAAGTCAAAACAAAACAAAAGGGATACATTTTTGTTAGGGTGTCATTAAAATATACTTAACCWCAAAACACAGCTTTAAAGTTTAAATAAAAATGAGTTAGGTTTGGGACAACAATGATACCCCCACCCCATAATAATTTGGGCTGTTTTGCTGCCTGCCATTAGTCATAAGGATGAGTCAGATTAAAAAAAAGGCTGAGTCAGATTTGATAAATGCACAAAATATAGTTTTGTTAGAGTGGAGTTTTTATTTCCCACTGTGCTTGCTCAAGGGAAATCATGATGCTTGCTTATAAAATATTTTCAGGTAAGGATGTTGCTTTTAATTACATAAGTTAAAACCAATTTTAGGATAAGAGAGCCCAAGCTGGATCCCCAAAGGAAGTAAAACAAATACCATCAACACAAAAACGTGTTAAAAGGGTCACACTGTAAGCTTAACTTATAATCATCTGTTAATGAGACAGTTTAGTTTTCTACAGTGATAAACAAGCAGAAAAATGTCAGCAAAAGAAACACGTGTAATAATTAAAAGTTTAATAATTATACCTTTTAATTTATTTGATCCAGAAGGGCTCTTGAACAACTGGAGCCCCTTCTGTYGTTACACTCAGACTTTAATTAACAGTCCAACAAAATGAGGAGAAAATAGACCACATAACCCTTTTATAATGAAACTATGCTGTAATTCCTCTGTATAACCCAGTCCAATGAGTCATTCATTTAAGAGAAGAGCACTAATTAAAGTTMTCTTGTTTAATATGCTACGAATGCACAGCGTTATATTCGTGATCATCCTGTGGGTGGTTTTTTAAAAGGTCAGCGTCGTCAAGCATTTTCTTACCAGAGAGGTGAAGATGTAAGTGTAGTAGACGGACAGCATTCCCAGCTCAGACGCCTGCAGAGAAAAAAACAAAACAAAACAAATAAATAAATATTTAAATATGCACWATTATGACGTGAATAAAGCACATAAAGAACAAATCAGAAACTGCAAAAGGTGGGGAGAAAAATAAACCCTCAGAGGTCAATGAGTCGTGTCACCAGAGCTCCATCTGAGCCTCCCGATCAAATCCCCGTCCTGATAAGAGAAGACACATTCTGATGTGACGAAACTCTCCATGGAGTTGTTAATGTCGAGGCCTGGTTGGTATGCTGCACCACTCTGTCATACAGTGTGATTCAATCAAAAGTTAGAGTAGCAGCTGTGAAGGGCATGAGGAACTTTTTAAAGATTTCTTTTATAAAAAACTATAGAAACAGTGATTCTTTAAGATATTAGTTTAGTTAAATCATGTAGCTATATAAAGTTTGATTAAAATCTATAAAGAATAGCTGTATGCACAAAGACCTATTTGCATTAATCAAACCTGCCACTTATGAAACAGCTCAGAGCGTTTTATACCAATTTTTGCTCATTTTTCTTTACTAAATGCTGAAAAATTTCCACTTGAATATTATTTGAAGGTTATCATTAAAGAAGGTTTAATAACAGATATTTAGCTGTCAAATCAACCCTATAACCTCTGAAAGTGTTTTATGAACATGAATAAATGCTACTCAGCTACAAATTGTGAATATTCAGATTTAGTGTTTTTAAAGGAGCAAAGATAATTAATTACTGAGAAGTAGGAAGCTGCTAATTATTAAAGCCGAACCTCTGGTAGATCTTTCATCACTGGAATTGAAATAACTTTTCATGTTTCATTAAATCTTTTGCTATTTTTACATTTCACAAAWTGTCACTTTAAAAYGACTTAAACTACAGTAATTAWACACTTCATTTTTGATTTCTCAGAAAGTGAAGCTGGTTTGATGAATGGCATTTTGAGTTTGGGACAGGAAAACAAAACAAAAAAAATGCAAGAAAGCATATGTTTCCTTTGGTGACACATGTCTTTAGCTTTATCCAATGAGGTGTATTGGCTGGAGGTGCTATTAYGCAAATTCTCTTGGCTGGAGAACCAGTGAAACTCAGTTTGATATTGACAACCATTATTTTGATTTTTATCAAATAATTGTAAGTATATCAGGGAAAAAACATCTTATGCATAAATATGTACATGTTTATGTGAAATACATATAAGACTCAATAGAAATCCATTCATTTTTTACAATAGATTGTTTTCATTGACAGCMCGCCCCTAAYAATTATGACATCATGCTCGTACCACGCCTTAGCTACATTAARCAAAAACTGCATTGCATTGCATTACAATGTATGTTTGCTGCTTGCATTTCACCAAGACAGTAGAACAAAAATCCAATTAATGTTTTCCTTCCTTCTTCATTTTGGCCTTATTGTTGTTCAACCATCTAGCCCACTTTGGCTCTGTCCAGCTGTGTACAGCTGTGTACAGCTGCGACAGCCTGAMAACAGAGATTACCTTCAAAATGCTAAAGCAGCTGATCTAAACCTCTCTGAATGCTAAAACATCAAAGGCTTTATTCTGAAGACATTTTTGATGTGAGATACTAACAGACAAATCTCACAGGAAAAAGTCTGAAACAAGTTCAACAAGTTCATCTCCATCATCTGGGACAGACTTATGTGCAGAAACCCAATTTTAGTTTGTTTAGCAGCAAYGAGCTTCACATCAGAGGTTGGATGACCAACTTTCCACCACCTCGCTGCAGGACTGTGAGAGCCAACACATCAAAAGAAGAAAAAAGTGACAGATGGCAAGCACAGATATATGAGAAAAAACAAAGGTGAGGGAGGTGAGGAGGAAATAAAAAGATGGGATCTTCTCTGGCTTTAAGCAGAAAACAGAGGAAATTGAATATGAAAGTTATGGAGACAGAGGTTAACAGAGACATAGAGAGAAGACATCCCAGTGTGGACTCCTGCTGCCACATGAACCAGGCATGGCTATGGCTACAGGAAGAAACACTGATTCATTAAGAGTGAATTTTGATTTAAAAATGAAGCYATAAGAGACAAAACAACAASAAACAAGACAAAATATCTATTTCCTGTCCTTTACTCAAATCTCAATTTATTGTCTTCAAGAAACAGAACAGTATGTCTATATTCTGCCATTTCTATTAACTCTTCTAAAGCAAAAAATGCTGCTCAGTTGTGCAATATTTATGCTTCTATGCAAAGTACTGTGCAGTCTTACTCCTATGTAAAGTTTTCACACTGCATCTTGTCAAACCATCTATAATGACATTTACTTTTTACCTTCTTTTATGAAACTTTTTTATTTTTTATTTATGTATTTATTCATTTCATTAAAAAACAAACAAAACATATTACATACAAC